ATATATAAATAATATATATAATTTTTAATTATTTTTTTAAGTCCACTGAGTAGCTCCCAGATAAGCCAGCAAAGTTACAGCAAATTAAGTTATAGCCCTTGCCAATTCTTTTGCCGGGGAGAAAGACAACTAAAAGAGTAGGGTTAGTATGATGTACAATGCACCAGAAAGCAAAATAAGTATACGGTATGTCTGATTTGGGATTATTGGGTTTCTTTTTCCCCCTCCAGTTTTTAAAAATGTATACATTAGCCTGATCAAGATTTTACTAGGAATATTGTTTAATTAATACAAAGAAGGAAAGCACTATTTCACAGTATTTCTTAGTGTATTTTCATTTGCTGTTCTACTTGTCATAAATCAAAGTAAAAATTAAAAGCATATGAAATAACATTGAGTAGCTACTCAGATCTGAACTCATGAATACCCATACCCATTATCTACTGATTATTTTATCAGCTCTATTCTGTTAATTGAAACATCTATGAGTTATTCATATTGCTACAGATATATAAAAAAATTTCAAGAAACAATTTTGTATTCAAAACTATAAGCCTCTCAGAGGAACCGTTCACTATCCTTTCCATCCTTTCTCTTCATCTCATTAATCAGAAACAACTTCCTGCAATATCAAGACAGGAACTAAACTTCAAAAGAAGATCAAAATTTATAATGTTTTCAAAGAACACATTAAACAAAATTACATGGGTTTCTGTAAGAAAAAACAACGAAAGGATCAAGCTCACCATTTATTTCCAACAACATATAACCATATGGTGAATGAAAGGGAACCACTGTTCATTGCACGCAGCCATTCATTTCATATTAATTATATGGTATTAAATAATGACATTTATAAGGGAAAAAGGGCATTATTTTGTGCAACTGAGTTTACAGTTTATTTTAGAAGTGCCACAGTAAATCTAATTATGATATTGTAATGTCATAAAAGCAGCATGTCAACTGATAAATATTAATATGTTGACTTAGAACCATCTAATCCAAATGGATAATCTAATTGTTCCTTGTTTTTTGACAGGCAGGCAACAATCCTGGGAATGAATACTGCTGAATAATTTCTTGTATCCTCCCAGTTCTTTCCACCTCATAGCCGCCTTCTCTCTACTGAAACCCCCTACATTAACTCTTCTATATTACTCATTGAAGCAAAATTAGAGAGGATAACTATCCACGTGGGGGGAAAAAATACAAAATTTCTGAGATATTGCAAGTTGAAGATTCCAAGATGAAGAACCACTTTAAGTAGTTTAAAAACATTTAGAGTCCTTCCTGCCCCTATGTATACAATCAATCCATATATAGAACACTACTAATCATGATGTGAGAAAATATGACATGAAGAGTATGAAGAATAGAAGGAAAAGACAATAACTTTGGGTTGTAATATCAAAGAGCAGGTGCTCAAAGCATGAAGTTTGAAAAGAAAAATAATCTTCAAAAGATGTCCAAATTACTGTCCATAAACTTTACAGGTCTCTTTTTGCTTTAAAAAGGTTTAACTTGCTAAGTTCTCTGTTGAAATACATCCTACTTTTTCAGACTATTTCTTCAATTTGCCAAATTTGATTTCATTTTTCATGGTGTTTTCCAGAATGTTTTAACCCTTCCTAGCTTGATATTACCTGGGTCTGTAACACACATCCATCATTCAGAACACTGATGAAAGTCTCAAACACAACAGATCCCTACCAGCTCATATTAGAAATCTTTCCAATTTCACTGTGAATCATGGATAATTACACTTCACTTTGACATAGTCTTCCAATCAGATTGGCATCCATACAGTAGCAATTTCATCTCATATGCTTCCCACCAGGTTGCTAACTAAAATCTGAGACAACAGAAAAAGTTTTCCTAATGTAAAAATGTTACTGTTTCTTTTATGCATAAAGCCTGCTTGAAGACTGACTTGCTTGACATTATTCTTATCAAGTCCATAATGAGTGTTAGTCTTATTTTTCCCTGTACGTCCCATGTATTTTAGTTAAGGATGTTTTAAAAATAAGATCATTACAGTTTAAAAATCATTTTCTTTGATAATTCTCAATATTTTTCCAGAAATCTCAATTAAAATAGTAAACTTAGAATTTGCTTATTTCTCTCTTCCTTTCCCCCCCCCCCCCCCCCCAGTTTGCTGTCTGCTGGGAGTTCCCAAAGTTGGCTATAGGACTGTTTCATCACACACAGGCAATCTGAAAGCAGTTTTAAGTGTTTAAATAAGAAAAATCTCAGTTTAAGAAAGCAAGTTTCATAAGCCAGTAATCTTCAGACACACAGAGAGCTATCAATTTTTAGTATAGATGTAATAGATCCCACCCCGATTTTTACCTTTAAAATTATAAATTTTCAATAACTATAATTGGAATTAGGTGTTTGAAAGAATAAGACTGAGAAACCAGCTGAAATATTCAGCTTGGACTTCCAAAGCCATTCTTTCAGAAAGACTCCTCTCCAAACACTCATAAGAAAACTAAGCAAAAATTACCTAAGAGGAATGGTCCTTTCACACATAAACATTTGATTACAAGAGAGGAAACCATAGAAACACATGGTCAAGTCATAAAACCAACAGAAGGTCCCTGTGGAGTTTTGCTGGAACCTGTGGCTGGGTTCTGTGCGGTCTTCATACAACCTAGGCAACCCAGAGAACAGGGTGAACAGTAAGATGACTGATTTTCCTCATGATATTAGGTAACTCAGGGCAGTGAAGACGAGAGCCAAAAGCAAATAAGGATTTTATAAGGTAGGTGAGGGCTAGCAGATGAAATTCAAGGGAGATTATGTGAAGTTATGGACAAGTGAATATAACCCTACCTTCGGGCATAACAAGCCAGGATCTAAACTGATTACAAGTACTCATGAGATTCTTCAGCTATGATAAATGTTTCCATTAAAATAATAACTCAGTACTCAGTAGCAGTAAAGAAAAAGTTAATCCAAAGCTAGAAAGAGCTACTTGAATGTTGGGAATTGTTGGGAGACAATAAAAGGGCAAACACTGTAATGCCAATGCATAACCCATTTTACAGCTGTATTATGAAAAACATGAATTGTTTCGGTCTCCCCACCTCAAAAAAAAAAAAAAAAAGTGATAGATCTGAGAAAGACTTAGAAAAGAATTAAAGAAATGTCACAGTTTCATGAAAGGAACTATCACATGTGCTGAAATTCTCCTGTCTGGAAAAGAGATGATGGAGGGATGTGAGGATGGTGTCTAACCAAATTATAGGTGGCATCAAGTCCAGCACCAAGCATCAATTCTTCAACATTTCTTCCAGTACAAGGAACAGGAAACCAAAGCAAAAGCCACCAAAGCCAGGCAAAAACCAAATGAAAAGCAGTGGTTCTTCACATGACAGGATAAACTGAGGGATTCACTATTATGAGAGGCTGTGGTCACTAGAATTTTACACAGGTCCAAAATCAGCTGTCTTAATTCAAAGAAAAGTCCACTGACAGTTATTAATCACACAGAAATGTAGCTGGATCATAAAGAATTAGTGGAGATATTACTGTATACTAGATTTATTCCATGAAATTTTGGACACTGTTAGCAATGGAATATTGGGCTACCCAATATTTCTGTTATTTTATTGTACAGTAAGGATTCATGATAAATACATAGATAAGTTAAAATACATTCTCTTTGTCTTCTGTTAGATGCACACTTACAAGAAAATAAGAGCACTTGTTAAAAATAAAAAGATACAACATTCTATGAAATGAATGAATGAATAGGAGCACTCAGAACAGTTACTCATTTACTTTCCCCTCAAGATGAAGAAATAGCTTTTGGGAAGAAAAAAGAACAAAAAACAAAAAACAAATACACACACCCCAAACACATAACTAATTTGACAGGTGACAAAGTCTCTAAGTACCCAATTCAGATTCCAAATGCTAATACAAGGCACTGATGTGACATTTCTGTAAGAAAGGTTAGCAAAACCAGTGTGTATTAGAACATTCCTCCTGCTACTGCTATTCCTACTGTCTAACCACAAAGCTTTTGAATGGCAGAACCTTCACCAGACTGTTTCTGATAATACTGATTCTGACAAAAGGTGCATCCTAGTGCACCTACTCTGAATAAATAGTAAGTATTACTGCTGTCAGTTATACAAGAAAATTATAAATGATTTCACTACACTGAATTCTGGATGAAGACCCAGTCAGTTTCCCACTAAAGCAGCTGATATCAAGCTTGTTAGTCCCATAGCTATTTAGGTTCATGTCATGCCTAAGAGGCAGGAAGTTTGTTGAGAAACACTGAGGATCACAAACTCGGAAGTAAACTAGAAATTGCAGTTGTTGCTGCCTGCTAAAGAAGTTTAGATTGGGAATCTGGAAGTGAGAGAAACACAGGATTGTGTTTTTGTCTGGGGAAAGTTAACAGATGGTCTAAAAGGAGCAGCTTTAAAATATGATCGGCAGCCAGAAAGTGTGTGGAAACAGCAATGGGGGGGGGGGGAAGGTGTTCATCTATTCTGTGCCACTGTTTTGTATAGCTTTGTGTAATAGCGTAGTCTCAAAGCTTGACCTTATAGTTTTATTCATCCAGATTACAATACCTTTATATTTTTATAACTTACTGAAAAGACTGTTATGTTGCGAATAAAAGTATTTGAAATTCATATTTGCAAGATGCTCTTTTTCTAAGACATAGGTCTCAAACATTGCTGAAAACATAACTTCGACTTCATTCTGTAACAAGAATTAGAAGGTTGCACATAGGGATTTAATATCATATCTTCTTTTAACTTTAAAAGAGAGCTAAATCCCTACACAGCTCATAAATATATGCCTCTGGATGTTTATTTATGCTCTTGCAGAGGTGGCTCATTTACCTCTTCAGAAAAGGTTGCTAGGTATAGTAAGACTTGCAAGAAAAAAAAAGCAGCACTAGACAGTCTCAAAAGTTAGAAAAAGGGTAGTGACAAAAAAACATTCTCTTTAGCCATGTGAAAGAATGTTGCATGAAGGAAATTATAACTTGCATTCAATTCTTATTAATGTTCTTTCCTACTGTTTAGCAGTCAGAGGCAGATAGACCAAGACGTACCATTCTTCTTGTAAATGACAAACTTATTCCAGCACACAATACAGTACCATAAGCAAAACATGAAGTACTTCACTGTAAATCAACAGGAAAACTTTCAGAATTACTTACCTGATTTTCTTCATGAGAAACTCTCATTTGTTCTTTAAGAACTGACATTCTGGCTGCTTCTTCTTTCCTCAGTACTCTTTCTTTCTTCAGCTCAGGACTCCAGAAAGTTTTGATGCTATTCATGGAGGATCCCAGCTTGCTGTCCTTAATGTCTAGTTCTTTTCTGAGAAGATCATTCTCTCTCTGTAGTTCCTTAAGCTGAGCCTGCAAGTCTAACATGGTACTATCCCTAACCTGTCTCAGCATAGAAGGAACCTGATGGTGGTGATGGTGTGAAGATGTGGTCAGACCTCCATGCTGATCAGTATAAGAAAGGACATCGGTGTGTGAAAGTCCAGCTGAAGCAATATTAGGACTGCTCCCCATAGCTGTGACTCGACCACCATACATAGCTCGATTTGTAGCCCTTCCAAGAGTCATTGTGCCCTTTGGGAAAGTAGTAGAAGCTACACCTTCATGGTCACTCAGATACATTGGTCCAGATGTTGCATAGGCTGCATTAAGGGACTGGATGTTCTCCATTGATAATGTCTTACCTGTTCCTCCTCCTCCTCCACTATTTGTTCGCCTATGGCCCAGGCGAGGGGATCTTGGCAAACGAGGAGACCTGGAGGGACTTCCTTCTAAGTTGCTGATTGTTCTTGCACTTCCATACATTTTTCTTCTACTTTGAGGTACTATTTAGTAAGAAATTAGTAACACTAAAGTTGAATATTAAATTTATAATTCCAGCTAGAAATGTTGGCAGTTTCACTGCATTCTTCCAGTAGACAAAAATCTGTTGTTCCTCCAAAGTGAGAGACCTGAAAAGAGATATTATGAAGTCAAGTAAATTTGCATCTTGTAAACTTATTTTCCAAGTAATCAGCATATATCAGAAAATAACCCTCTTCCTACAATAATTACTTTGACATAGAATATACATTTTGTATTTAAGATGAATTCAGAAAAGAAAGCTGTTCATTTCATTCTTGCTAGAAAATATCTTTACTTAGTTTAATTAGCTTTATGTTGCAATAAACATGGGCCCAAAATCATATCTTACCTGATATGTTAATGGACTGAAATGACTAGGTGGCAAACAGATCCTGTTAACATTAAGAACAGCCCAGAATAAGATATTACATTTTCAAAAGACAGTATAGAAGTAGCAATTCAGTACTTTTTTATATATTAATATATAGCATTAAATTAACACAGACTAAGGAAATAGGCAGAGATTTTAATTTTTGTTTGGATTAACAAAGATGGGGTTTTTATAGGAAAAAAGATGAAGAAAGCTTGTTTCAAATTGTTCAGCTGTAACCAGCAAAAGACATAGTTTAGTAAGAAAAATTAACAATAAAACTAATCTGAGCGAATGTTTCCTTCTAAACAATTATAATGTATTACAACACAGTATTATTTGTTCAGTGAAGTACTAACTTGCTAATAGTTGTTGTTAATAAGCTTCTCAGGAAAAGTCTGCATCATAATAATCTAGGATTTCATTTAGAAAATGAGTGCTCATGAGATACAATTTTAATTTCTTTCTTTTTTACCTAGGGGTATCATATTATTACTTTGATATAACTGTGCTTGTAATTTATCTAACCAAACAGATAGACGTGGACCAATGCTCAGTTTTCAAATTCTTCAATACTACCACTATACATTCAGCATGTTTCAAGTAAGTTTAACTTTACATAGCATAAACATACAAATAGGGCTTTAGGATTAGGCAGGCCCAATGATTTTATTTTAACAAATCCGAACATTTCAATAAATGTGTGGTAGTACTTAAATTGATGGTCATCAACCAGATTTGGTACCATTTACTTCAAACATAGCTAGAAAAAGAACAAAAGTTGGATTCAGTCAAATCCACTAATCTTTAACTGTATCCTCAAGGCATCCTCATTATCTATAGATACGTTATTTCCCAGAGCTGCAAAACATCTGCTCTACATTTGCTGTAAAGAACACGTTGATGCAAGAGCAGGCAGAAGGATGATTTGATGCCATTTATCAATAAGCTCTAGCATATTAAAGCCTCACCAATGATACTAGTATAAAACACCATGGATATCAATGATGTCAGCAAACAAGAAGCATGCCACGTTCTCCACTGACTCCTCGTTTTCCCTCCACAATCATACATCACATGGCTCTCATTAATTCTAAGAATTGCTTGGTATATGCTACGTTTTCATCAAGTTTTAACAGCCAACATAGTCTAAAGCATTTTTGTTTCATTTTAATTACCATTATGCGACTGAATTAAATGACATGTTTCAACTACTTTTAATCAACAGTGGCCATTCTCGTGAATTTTCACCTCTTTCCCAAGAGGTCACAAAAGTATTGTGTCAAGAATCACATGGCGGCATGGCACTACACCAAAATGTTGATGACAATGCCACTATGGCTGCTGGGCAAAAATATGAGTGTGGTATTTATTCAGCATTGATAATTTGGAAACATTGAACTCTTTGTACTGCACCCAGGCTGCTCCATTAAAAGTATTTGATTTCAACGCAAACATTGCCCCTGGCAAAATGTATCAAACAAGCTAACATAACATCGCTCCATACAAACTGTATTAACAAGACCAGTAATCCTATCATAAAACATTACCTACTTTTTGCCATGTAAAAAATATTTTGGCTATGCATAAAGCAAAGGCAGGGGTACCTACTTCAATGAGAAAATGTAGTTTTTAACTATGTAGGAAGACATAGATACAAAATTATACTCTAGCAACTCTTTTCTACTGCAGGATCATGTAACTGGAGGCAAAAGCCTGATCCAACTTCTTGAGCCATGAAAGCCTCTTAAAGCTCCCAGAATTCAGCCCCAAGGGGCATAGATTCCTTTAAAGGAACCAGATGCAACTTGCTGATTTGCACTTTTGAATTCTGACATTTTATGAGTATCCAGATCTACCCCCATTTTCAGTTGTCACCCAGCATTCAAGAGATGACCCATAGCTTGTTCCACAAAAAAATGGAGCAACATTTCTGGCATCTCAACTTCAATACATTGATCAAATTGTATCTCATCATGGCGACTCCGGGCAATGCAATTATTTATCCTAATTCTCAAGTGCCAGCCATCCTCTGGGCAAATAACATCACTTGTAATACACTCTGAGGACTCGATCCTTGTAAATTTCTAGTTTCCTGAGAAAGTTCCATAGTTCCTTCAAAAAGGGTCTCAGATGAGATCAGACATGAAGATTATTTTCCTTCCACTGAGCAAAAGCAACTGTCTTCCAAATGGATACAAAATCTGGCCTGGTGAAAAGCCAAGATTGCTAACAATGTGTCAATGTAAATTTAAACTGGATACAAGCACATATTTTTAGATAAAGCAGACATCATACATGGCCAGGTAGTGGAGGTTGGCACAGATTTGTTGATCCTCAAAAACATGGGTACAGGATACCCTTATATCAGTACTGGTTTTACTTTCCTTTGCCACAGTCTGATAAACAAGTCTCTTCCTTTGAGTCACTTAATATGCTACCAAGCCTTTTCTTTATGCCTCTGATGGGTATTTTTAGTACTTGTTTTGCCTTTTAGAATTTATTAGTTACGATCTATCTTCTTTTCTCTACTTGCTAAGTTTTGAGAAGTCCTCTTCTCAAAGCAAGTAACACTTTAATCTTGATTAACACTCCAATCCTTACCAATGAGCGCTACTGAAAAAGGGAATCATCATTCCTCATCCAAAGGGACACTAACTTTTCCATGGACTTCTTTATTTTTATAGTCATCTTCACATATTGATTTAACATTGTAATTTTTATAAGCCTGTGAAAATTCTGAAAGCAACAGGAAAAGAGAATTAAAACAACAAAGAAGTGTTATCACAACCACAGCATTTCAATTATTATTTTTAATTTTCCCCTAAAAGTATTCTAATCAAGATGGAGACCTCTACATAGAAAATGCAAGCAAACTGACAATATGCATGGTTTCCTTTCTTTCATGGGCTACTAAAGATAGCTCACAGACCAAAACCTGAAAATCCTGATGCAAGACTTTCTTACAGTTTATCTGTTTTCATTTGCAATTCATTACCTTCTACAACCTCAATTACACACACTGGCTTTCCTGCCAACACCGAAAAAAAAAACAAAAAAAAACCCAAGAAAAAACACACTTGAGCCTTCCTTTATGGCTCTGAATAATCTCAGGCACAGTAGAAGCCACATACTATTGCTTTATGGAAGAGAGGAAAACGGCACCTACATCATTTTCTACTTTTCACTGCTTTTACACAGATCCTTCCTAACTTCAGGAAGATTTACTTGAGTGTCTCAACATATCAGGAATTGGAGGCTTGAAGAAACAGTATCAGCCTCAGGGCCTCAACCACTGTCACATATCATCTACTGCCTGTAAAAAAAAAAAAAGAGGAGATCCATTCTCCAGTCTTCACGTACAACCTGCTGGCACACAGCCATTCTAGTTGAACTTAGAATGGGCAGGTGAGATATAGATGATTCTATCTTAAAAACTAAATTGATTTTATATTGCTATTTCAATTATTGGGGGAGTGGTGTGGAAATTATTACTCTAAGGCAATAATTTCTCACCCAATATTTCAAGGATTGTTTTGCTGAACTGAAGCATAACCTTTATGCATCATAGTGCAAGGGGCAGAGATAAATGGAAGCCAAGTGGAAACATAAGAATCTCATCTATTATGGGTAGGATGGGAGAGCTGTACAGACAAGAACAAATGTACCCACAACTAAAGGGACCAAGCCTCCCTCTTGATAGAAGCCCAGAAGCTGTAAACATTGCAGTTGCAAGCACAAAGGAGCTCAAATACATCTCATGAAGCCTATATCCCCCTAAAAACTTCCAAGGCAAAAAGTCACCCAGATTCATGCAGGCTAGCTTGGGGAAAACTGCCAACCCGCTTCCTGCATTTTCCCCACAAAAGGTTGTTTAGAGTTTTAAAACCCAAATCCAGAAAATACTAGAAAGAACAGATGCTCATCTACTTGACTCATTATTTTCCTACTTTAAAAAATACTTTTTAATGCCCATGATATACGACTTAAAAATTAACCATTATAATTGTAACTTTAATATTTCACCTTGGAAACAAAACTATATAAAAGGATCCAGAAAATTAAGCACGCATTCTCAGTGGGAGGGAGGGCAGAGGCCAGACACACCACACACATCCCTCCATGTTCTCATCAGCCTTGAAAATCCCAGCAAATAAGAAATAGCCTATTCCATGCTAAATTACCTCCTGCTGGCTGTTCCAACTTAGGTTAGAACCATTTTCCACATTTCTGCCTCATCTCTGCCTCATCTCATCACCTGTATTCTGCAGACATCATTCATCTTATCCACATCACTTAAGTCTGTGACACTGTAATTTTATTTGCCTTTTAACTATTTATTTTTATGGAGACTTAAAACACAGGATTCTAACACTGCTAATAGAAGGCCTGTCTCACTCAATTTAATTTACAAATGCATTACTTCTACATATCACATAATCATAGAATCATAGAGTTGTTAGGGTTGGAAAGGACCTTAATATCATCTAGTTCCAACCCCCCTGCCATGAGCAGGGACACCTCGCACTAAACTATGTCGCCCAAGGCTCCATCCAACGTGGCCTTGAACAACGCCAGGGATGGAGCATTCACAACTTCCTTGGGCAACACCTTCCAGTGCCTCACCTGTCTTCACAGAACCCTGTCAGGTCTGGTTTTCACTGGCCACCTACTTATACAAAAAAGCATTAATTTCATTAAGCTATTTAAACTCACCAGTATCACAAAGTTTG